AATTTCCTTATAATCAACAATTTGAGCATTTTTAGGGGCCTGTGTTAAGAATAAATTCCTCAGTGAAATTATGCCATTTTCTGGAAAAGATAGAACCGAATCCTTTGGTATCGCACTCACCAGGATAGTCAGAGTGCCCACTGAGTCCCATAGTGAAACAGGTGCCAGGCGAGCGAACACCAACAGCTGAAACAAAAAAAAGGAGTGCACACAGCTTGTTCAGAATTCACTGTACTTGAAAAATAGTTTTATTTTCAAAGTGCACATGTACTATGAAGCAATTAATCACTTCTGTAAGAAAGACCCAGAAGGCCCTTGGATTAAGTCACAGAAACCTCTCTGGAAAAACTGAGTTGATTAGGTTCCCCAATGACTTCTTCTTGTGTAAGTGATTATTACTTATATAAAACATTTACTACCCAAGTATTTACTTTTGAGGAAGTAGAGTGATTTATAAAGTGACTCTACCCAAGTAGCAGCTCATCGATGACAGGAGTCTTTCAGATAAGTATCTAACACTGCATGAAAGAATACATACATAACTTTTGTAGTAATAGGGATTGAACCCAGGGCCTGGCACATAGTCTACTGCTGAGCTATACCTTCAGCCCCCTTTTATTCTGAGATAGGGTCTTGTGTAAGTGCTTGGGCTGGCTTCAAACTGGTGAGCTTTCTGTTTCAGCTTCCTCAACAGCTGGGATTACACAGGCCACTACTTATGGCTAGGAGAGAGGGTTGAAAATACCAGTAATTCTCCATGATGGCAAAATGAAAGACAGAAATTGTGAGAACGAGAGTCACTGGACATGTGTTTGTCTAAGAGGCATGCGTCAGTTATAAACTAGACTGTAATAAAAATATCTGTTACACATCACTCACAGTGTGCACAGTTGATAGGGTCCAGTGTTTTAAAATGCAGTAAGGTGTTTCTTCATTTTCTCCACTACAGCTTCTGTGTTTCCAGGGCCTTCCGAGACAAACTGCATTGGCTTAATGATAAACTTAGGAAGCTAAACCTCAAGAGGGGTGGGTCCCCTGTGTTGTCAGAGCTATGTAGACAGAATTTAGGTGCCTATTAGTGGCTGCCAACAAGGTACAGTTGCAGGAGGGGCGACTCAGCTGAGGAAGCTCAAGCTCAGTTCTTCCCTGACACAGAAGGGCTGACCTCAGTGTGTTTTGTGCAAACGTTCATAGTTGATTTAGGACTGGACCAGGGTAACCTTCTTTCTCTCAGGGCATGCCACAAAAAGACACAGGTGAATTTGTTGAGCGTAATTTATCCCCATCTAGTTTACTGTGCTCATTATAATTTCCTTAGCAAGTAAGGATAAGTTTGTTATTGTTGCCCAAATTGATTTAAATAACATTTGCCTATTCTTGCCCACCCTCCTCCCTCTCCAATCCTACCTAATTGTTTAGCATACTGAACTTACGGGCCAGTAATAATTTGCATAACTGTTTCAAATCAAATGCTGTATCTCATATCCTGAACCGACTCAGTTATCCACTGCTAATGTCTAAATCGGAGAAGTGAAAAGGACAATTGTTTAGTGCTTTTTAAAGTCCCTGACCAAGATCAGTAGGGAAATCCCATTAGCTCCATTCATCGCATCTCTCATAAATCTAAAAAGAAAGCAAGTATCCAAAGCCTTATTCTTTAGTAGTTCCTACTTGTAAAACCTTGACAGGGCTTTATTCTAAATTGCTTCCAAATTACAGAAAGAATACTGAGAAATATGATGGGCAGTGAATCGTGATCGCTTCAGTCATCGAGTAAATAAGGAAAGAGGGCTAATCTGAAAGCAAACAGTACGATAGGCCTTGGAGAGGCGAAAAGAACAGAGCTGTGGAATTCTTAAACTACCATCTGGCTCAATTCTCTTTCAGTGAGCAAGTTGAAGGGCCTTTTATTCAGTGCCTAAAACTTATTCAAAAGGAGCAGTATTTGAATATTAATATTTCCATATAGTTAAAAAAAAAACTTTTGTAACCAGAAAGGAATGTTTAACAAAATAATGGGTAATCCTCTGGCTACACATGAAGGCTTGGGGAGAGCCCTGTGGGTGGGTGGTTGGCTGCGGGCAGGGGGAGCGGGGTATAGAGTGGCCAAGACACAGTACCTTTCCACCTTTACTCCAGGGCTGCTTCTTCATGGTGAGAGCAATTTATTAAAGTTGCCATTGTGTTTTGAAATTTGGACATGAGGTGTAAAATTAAGGAACTCATTAAGGAGGAAAAAAAAGCAGTGATTTCTGTTATTTTATGTCATCTAAAGAGACAATAAAGTTGGACTGCCATGTGGGATAATTGAGGCCTGGAGTCCAGAGAGAAATGGTTAGCGGGGTTGAAATTGTGCTTTTGTGAAATTTGAGCCCGTTTCATCATTGTCTAACACTCCTGACAATTGCCGTTTTGTTTATTAAGCACTGGATTTTTACATGACAACTTTCACTGGCTTTTATTTTGCCTTCCTGAGGAGGTGTGCTGAGGAAAGTTGGATAAATATAGGACTCCACTGTTTCTCTTCTGCAAAGATGCTTTTAAAAAGGCATTTTAGTACTCTGTGGTTTCAGAGACAAAACCAAGTCCTGCCGCTTTGTGCTCTCACAGGCTGCAGTGCCTTCTGTCTGCTTTAGGGTGTGGCATCTGCCATTGGAGAGGAAAAACTGGCATGTGTTGCCTTTGATAGCAGACCGATTCCCTTGTGCTGGGGGCCTGTTTCATTACCTCTTGGTTCCACTTTTCTATGTGATTTATTGGACCAAATGGAATTAAAAGAGATTTCACTCACATACTAATTAAAAAAAATATTTTAGTCCCACAATTTTGACATTAAAAAAAATATTTCTAAGAAAAAGGCCAGAGCTGAACTTGGTGACTCATTTTCCCTTTCAGGGTTGGTTGCATAAATAAGTCACAACATATGGCTTGTCAGAATCAACTTTGATATATTTTACCAATTTGGAAAAAAAATGCACGTTTATGATTATATGTATATATTTAGTGTGACTATAAATGTCGGAGAGCGTAAATATATAATTGATTTTAGAATATATGTTGATAGACACATACACAAAACAGACATCTATTTCTATTTGTGTTTGAAAAACTTGGAAATTTCAACTTGCGTGGTGTAACCCTATAATTACTATGCATTTGAATATAGAAAGAGAAAATCTAGGGGGAAAAATGTCAAAAAGCACAGTAACAAAGATGTAGTATTCTCTTGGCAAAAACTGATGATTTGGCATGAATTCATCTATGGCTGTGTTATTCCCATACACAACCATATACCCCCTTTTCCAGTGTTTTCATAGCATCCTGATTTGTTTCTTCTCTGTAGAATAACCCTTGGGTATATACCTGATTCCTCCCACGCCCCATTTTTCAGCACTTCCTCCTCCCACTCTGTCATTTTCTATTTAGCCATGTAAAATATTTACGCTTAGTCTAGCAAACAAATAGCCACTGCAGTTGACATAAACTAAAATAGTTTTTATGGGCTGTGAAAAAATGATTTTGGAAAAGTACACTGTACTAAAATGGTACTTATTCCCTCAGCCTGACCTCTGGTTTCAAACGTTTTCCTCTCAACACAACTGAGTCCACGCTAGAATAAACTAAGCCACTGCCTAGGTTAGAAGCCTGGCTATTAGAGACAGCCAAGATATTCCTCGGTGGTAATAAAATCATTATAGTATTAAAACAATATGCACTTTTTTTTTTTTTTTTTTTTTTTTTTTTTTTTTTTTGAAGCAGAGTCTCCCTGTAGCCCCAGCTCTCCTGGAACTCACCATGTAGACCAGGCTGGCCTTGAACTCAGAGATCCACCTGCCTCTGCCTCCCAAGTGCTGGGACTACAGGTGTGCGCCACCAGGCCCGCTAATAATAGGCACCTTTTAAAAAGAGAAAGTATTGTCTATTTCTGCTTTGGGATCGGTCTGTTTACATTATTATTGATTTTGTATTTATTAAATACATTTATTTGGTTTTGTTTCCCATTACTTGGAAATGAACTCATATCGAGGGTTAATTGCACACATTAACCTCTGAAATAAGATGAAAGGTGTCATGTAGATTTATGAAGACATGAGATAAACCTTAGCGGTGGCTGTTTTGACACCCATAGTTCGATGTTCATGTGGATGCTGTTTGGAACAGAAGACTACAAATCTGAGAAGACACCCAAGTGCACTGTAAAAAAATGCTCTGCTGGGAATTCGAATCTTCATACCTATTTAGGGTGCCTTTCAAAGGAGTTATATAAACATGATCTTGGGGGATTGTACTGAATCATAAGCATTTATTGAGTGCCTGCTGTGTACAGGGCACAGAAGTCTTTAGGGCTTAACATTCCCTTAGTACTCTTTCCTAATTTCTCAGTTGTTGAAGTTGTGGGAATTACGCCGATGGCCTGAAATCAAGGCAGAGAGGCCAGGGCTGTGAACAATTACATAACTCCTGGGAGAGACGGAGCTTTTGCAAGGCCTGCCTAAATATTTTCCTTCTCGGCCGGCCCCTCACGCCTCCGAGGCCAACGGACAACTTTGCTTCCCAGCCCCTTCTCCGTCTTTTGTCTGCTCTGTCAGACTCGTTTTCTACCTTTGTAACGCTCCTTTTAGACGGGAAAACAAACACAGGAACGCGGGTTGGCAAGGAGACAAGAGGCACGAGGGGAAAGAGCAGCCTCGGGCCGCCCTACGCCGGCCGCGCACTGGGCCGCTGCCCGGGCCCCGCTTGCCCGGCCGGGCTGGGTCGGGCGAGGCTGCACCGGGCGACGCTGCGCCGGGCGAGGCTGCACTGGTCGAGCAGCCGCCCCGGGCCGAGTCCAGGCCGCATTTTGCAAGTGCGCACGAGTCATCCAAGAGCGAAGCGAATAATAGTTTCTCGGGCTCGCTCGGCTCTCTCCTGCCATGCTGGGCCCGATAGGCTCAGGCAAGTCGTGCATTTCCGCATATCCGGGTTAGAGAGGGGAAAAAAAAAAAGAAAAAGAAAAAAAGTTTCATTTCAAGCTGAACTCAAAAACTTTGCAGCATGAAAGGCCGGAGCGGGAGCCGGCTCCAGGCGTAAGGCGCGTCCCCGGCGCGGCTCCCCGGGCTGCAGGGGGGAGGGCGCCGCGCTCGCCCGGGCCGCGTGGATGCGCAGGAGGGGCGGCCGGCTGCAAGTGGGGACATTGTCTCCCCCCACCCGGTCGCGATCATGGCCGCGCGGGCAGCAGCGGCGGCGCGGGCGCGTGCGGGCGGCGGCCAGCGGTCCGGGGCCCGGGACCTGAACACGGGTGCGCGCGGCGCGGTGGCGGCCGTGGGCCCCACGCCTGGGGACGGCGACGGCGGCCCGAGTACTGTGCACCCCCACCCCCTGCACCCCCGTCACGACCCGAATATGGCCCATAGCGCGAGCGCCGCGGCCACCGCCAGCTCCAGCCGCGCCAAGAGCGGCTCGGACGCGGCGCTCAGGGAGGCTGGAGGCGCCGGCGCGCCGTCCTCCTCCTCCTCCTCTTCCTCCTCCTCTTCCTCCTCCTCCGCGGGCCCCGGCTCGGCCATGGAGACCGGGCTGCTCCCCAACCACAAACTGAAAGCCGTTGGCGAGGCCCCCGCCGCAGCGCCCCACCATCACCACCATGCCCACCATCACCACCACCATGCCCACCACCTCCACCACGCACTCCAGCAACTAAACCAGTTCCAGCAACATCAGCAGCCGCCGCCGCCGCCGCCGCCGCCGCAACAGCCACAGCAGCAGCAGCAGCAGCAGCATCGCATTGCCAACAACAGCCTGGGCGGCGCGGGCGCCGGCGGCGCGCTTCAGCCGGGCCCGGACATGGAGCAGCCGCAACATGGAGGCGCCAAGGACAGTGCCGCGGGCGGCCAAGCCGACCCCCCGGGCCAGCCTTTGCTGAGCCAGCCGGGCGCCGAGGACGACACGCCGCCCAAGATGGGGGAGCCGGCGGCCGGCCGCTACGAGCACCCGGGCCTGGGCGCGCAGCAGCCCGCGCCAGTCGCGGTGCCCGGGGGTGGCGGCGGCCCCGCGGCCGTCGCGGAGTTTAATCATTACTACGGCGGCGCTGCCCATGCGAGCGGCGGCCGCGCTGGGCCTGGCTTTGATCAACATGGCGGACAACAAAGCCCCGGGATGGGGATGATGCATTCCGCCTCCGCCACCGCCGGGGCCCCCGGCAACATGGACCTCCTGCAGAACTCCCACGAAGGGTACCCCAACAGCCAGTACAACCATTATCCGGGCTACAGCCGGCCCGGCGCGGGCGGCGGCGGCGGCGGCGGAGGAGGAGGAGGCAGCGGAGGAGGAGGAGGAGGTGGAGGAGGTGGAGGAGGAGGAGGAGGAGGAGGAGGAGGAGGAGGAGGAGGAGGAGGAGGAGGAGGAGGAGGAGGGG